AAATCCGATTACTGCCTGTTTAATGTCTCTGTTTATTTTGGTTGGTTCTGCTCGGACTGCCTTCCCTCCCCTTTCCCCCATTTCAAAGCCATTGGAATCCTCATCATCTAGGTTCTGCCCTTTAGAAGAGGCTTTCATAAGCCATGCCAGCCAATACTTTACTTTTTCTGGATTTCCATACTCCTGTCCTAACCCTCATTTGGCATTGCATCTTGGTAATTCACTCAGCAACTATTTACTGAGTGCAGACTGTACCAAGCACTCTGTTCTAGATGATGGCAATACAGCTGTGACTGAGACAAAATCTCTGCTCTCATAATACATGGGGGAGGCGCAAACAGCAAGCTGCTGAATGGAAACTGGAAGTAGAGAAATAAACGGGAAGTAGAAAGTCCTGTCAGAAAGGCTATGGTAATTGTCCAGGCAGAAGTAGAGGGTAACTTATGATGTCTCTTGTACAAGAAGTTGTTCTATGCTGACATTTACCTTTTCTTTTGTGCCCACAACTCCTTGAGGGCAAGGAACCCATACTTGTAATTTATGGATTATGTATACAAACTCTGCATATGCCCATTTAATAGGTGCTCAATAAAGAACTGTTGTTCAAATGCCTTTAAGTCCACATTATTCAGGTAACAGTATGGCATCGTTAATGGCTTTGTCATTTACTGTCTCAGTGGGAAATTAAAATTCTCTAGGTCCTAATTTCAACATTTATAAAATGCTGATAACACTGACCTTGTACCAGGTTGGTAAGGATTAAATAAAAATGCCTAGCCACACTCACCTCGCTTATACTAGGAGATATCTGCCAGTCTTTGATATAAACCCTCACACCCAAGACAAAATACAAATGTTGCCCTTTCTGTATAATGCCTGTGAAATTGTCAAAGCTGTGCGAAACTGACTTGATGTTAACATATACATTAATCCAATCCATCCCTCTATGGGTATCCAAATCATGCACTCAAAAAATGTTCTGGCTTCCTTACAGTAATCTTTGCCTTCCGGGCCACCTTAGTGTTACCTAAAGCTATCGCAGCTATCCCATCTTGGGGTTCATGTCATTACATCTCAGCGACCGTAGATGTAACCCTAAATGCAGGATAAATGTTTAGTGTTGATGGCTGGCAAAGCTACGGGATGTATGTACATTCTGAGCAGTAAGTGACATTGTGTTAACAATGCTGTCAACTTTCTGTCACGTTGGAAGGCCTGGGGTTGCTGTAGCTACAAGGTGAATTATAACGTCAGAAGCAACCCAAGTGCGACTTCAGTCCGCTGTCACCAGAAAGCAGGTGCAAGTCAGGCAAGAACATAATAGAGACAGGTAGGGTGACTATGCCATCTCATCTGGATCAAGAGGAGGGAAGAGGGAACCCCAGTGTTTCTAATTCCGGATTCAACATTCTCCACTAGTCTTCCTTCCCAAATATCAGCAAAGGGCCATGGCAGTGGAAGTGGCCCCAAGCGTGGTGGCCCACGGGGGGAGGGACCCGGGAGTACGAGGCCGAAGCAACCCGGAGGCTGCAGAGGCTCAGAGACCAGCAACAAGCGAGGACCGATCAAAGGATAAGAACACTCTACCCGATCGGCGCTCCCCGCTCCTAAGCAAATTTTAGTGGGCGCAGGAACGCGCTCGCAGCACCGCGGTGCCCACCTTGGCTGCGTTCTACCCATGTTCCTGAGAAGACAGAGCATGCGCGAAAGGTAACCGCGCCCTCGCCGCTAGAGACCCCAGGCCGGGGAGGGGGCGGGGCCGCACAGCTGCGCACGCGCGCGGGGACACGTAGGCGGAAGTGGCGCGCGGGCGCAGGCCAGGCGAACACCTTGCGAGGAGGCGGCGGCCGCTGTGGAAAGTGCAGGGGTAGGCGGAGAGGAGAAGGAGGTGATGGCGACCTGGGGAGGGAGAGACCGCTCCGTCTGGCAGGCGCTACCCGGGCTGGGGTCACCTTTTCAGGTGGCTTAATGGCTCGGGAGTGGACGTGTACCCCCGGCTCTTCGCCGTGTTCGGGACCCAGACCCTCCCCTCCCCAGAGAACCTGGACACAGCTTACCTTCCTCATCTATAACGAGCGTGCGGCGAGGGGATTGAGGGCAGGATGGAGGGCGGGGATGACTTCCTTTTTTAAAGAACGGAAACCTGGCACGGTTTCTAGGGAGGAGTGTGTGTCCCTCCTTGTCCCCTTTGCTCCCTGCAGCAGGCTAGAACCCCCTCAGGCCCCGGTCTGTGGACTCAGGAGTGAGACCACTTCCAGGAGGGCCTTTTAGACTAGTGAGGGGCCTCTGGAGAACTGGCAGTCGCCTGGGTTCCCAAGACTGCTTTTGAGTGAAGAGCTACTTCCGGGTTCTGCGTTAGATAAAGTACTTAGGGTCTTCTGCTGTCCATCTGCTTTGCGGTGCAAGGTGATCGTTCTTGCCAGGTTATTAAATTTATGTCATAATCTTCCACTAAAAGTTATGCAGATTCTCCAGTCTTTGCAGCTTAGTTTTCTCCCCCGCCTTTTTATTTTTCTTTTAAAGAAATACTGAAAGGAGGTGGAATGCTTTGGTGTGCTGACAGTGGGGTTTTTTTAGTGTGGGGCATATGCATCTCTTCTAAGTTAGGGTCTCACATGTCGATGTCGAGGGTAGATTTTTGGATTCACGTTTTCCTAAGTGATTTGGGACAGTTTGGGCCTTGGAAGAGAGAGATACGGCAGCATTTGAAAATAATTTGGATGAGTGTTATTTGTACTTAATTTCTTTATATTAAATCCAAAGCTTAGATTTATCCCTTGGAAAAAAATAGAGTAACTGTCAAAAATGAGTACCCTGTTTGATCTTCATGTAGTGAAGTGTGTACAAAGAAATGAGCCCCCCTTTTTTTTGTTGTTTTATAACCATAACCCATAGGTGAACAATTAATAGAGTCCAGTTAATGTAGATACAATGGCAAGATTATTTTATTTGTAACAACGAGTATGACAAAATACAGAGTGAAGTATGTTCAGGTTATTTACACTGTAATGTAATTTCCTCATATAGTGGAATTACTACTCATAGTAGTGGGAGATTTTTCTTCTAAAGACTGGAAAAGAACTAGATTAAGAAATGAACTGAAAGATTTTTAACTTAAGTCGGTCATTGCAAACCAATGTAATTACCAGTTATTTATAATTTTTAGATGTCAGTATATACTGAAAATGCTGCCTTTTCCCATTTTAGCAGTTGCTTTGTACCAACAAGTAACTAAAGTTAAATATATGTGTTGACTTTAAGAACAGGAGAGGCCCCAGGCAGTGATTCACACCTGTGGGGTTTTTTGTTCTTAGTTTAAGGGTTACTGTGAATGTCTAAAGCAGAGCAAAATGTTGATCATTTAGTTTGAAAACAGGTTTAATTCTATGCTGGATTTTATTTTTCCTGCATCGAAAGGACATTGGTCTAGGTTCTGTGGATATTGATTGATATCCATCATTAATGTCTGAAACGGAAGGTTTCACACATTAGGATCACAGTCATTGGGTATCAGAGTTTACAGTGTCTTCCTTCATCAGTCATGTGATCTGACCAGTGATGTTCTGATTAATAAAACTGCGTTCTAAATGCAAAGCTTGCAAGGCAGATTTTCTGGAACTGGTACCTCAAGTAAGCAAAAGAAATGAATTTATTTCCATGTTCATTTCAGATGCTTTGTGGGAAATTTCAGTGGAGATGTCAATATTTTGGCACAGATGTCCAAGAAGTGACAGTGCTGAAGGGATTTAACTCTACATGTCTGGCACAGATCTGCGGCTCCTAAGATTGCCAATAGGTGTGTTGAAAGTGGCAAATTGTTGGAAAGGAGCAGAATTCTGTTGATTAAATTGATGCTTACTAGAGTGCAGTAGACTCCTTCATTTCATATTTTACACTTTTGTTATGTGTTGAAACATAATGAAGATGATATCTTCTCTTCCCCTAAAGATTTCAGAAGCTTCTAAGAAGCAACCATAAAAGCAAAAAGTTTTGCTGTTATGATTTAGGTATTTGTAAAAAATTTTATAAAATGCTATGAGAGTCCAGAGAATCACCCAGCTTGTAATGTATAGGGCCTTAATCAGAGGTATAGCATAGTGGGTATTCATGTTGAGCAATTTGAAAGAGGGATCAGAAAGGGAAGAAGAGATTATAAACAGTAGTCTAGTGATGCCTAGTAATCTAGGCAAGAGAAAACAGCTGCTAATGGTAGGTTCAGAAACTGATTTTAAATACATTTACAGATGTAGAGTCAACAGGAACCTTGGCAAAACGTAAATTTGAGGAAAAGGAAAGAATCTAAGATAATTTACAGATTTTCTGCTCAATACCATAAGTGAGATTGGGAATATAGGAAGGGCAGGTTTGTTTGGAGGTGAACATAGTTCAACTTTGGACTTTTATTTATTTATTTAAGTTTATCTATTTTGAGAGAGAGAGAGCATGGGGGAGGGGCAGAGAGAGAGAATTGTAACCAGGCTACACACTGAGAGCATGGAGTCCATTGTGAGGCTGGAACTCATGAACCCCTGAGATCATGACCTGAGCCAAAATCAAGAGTCGGAGGCTTAACTGACTTAGCCACCCAGGCACTCCCAGCTTTGAACATTTTTGAAATGAGGTGCCACTGGAACTCATGAGTAGAAATGCTTTCAAAGAAGCATTTGGAAATAGAGATCTGGATTTCAGAAGAGAAGTCTGGGTTGGAAGTCCAGATTCATATTTCCAACTGCACATCAGAGGAGTGAGTCTCCCAGCAGCCGACCATATCACACCAGCAGTAGTTCTAAAAAGTTGGGTGATAGTTGGGGCGCCTGGGTGGTTCAGTCGGTTAAGCGTCCGACTTCAGCTCAGGTCACGATCTCGCGATTCGTGAGTTCGAGCCCCGCGTCGGGCTCTGGGCTGACGGCTCAGAGCCTGGAGCCTGCTTCCGATTCTGTGTCTCCCTCTCTCTGTGCCCCTCCCCCGTTCATGCTGTCTCTCTTTGTCCCAAAAATAAATAAACGTTAAAAAAAAAAAAAAGTTGGGTAATAGTTAACATTGGTGGTCTTAACTATATGCCAGATGTTTTTACATTTATTTCATGTAGTACTAACAAAAATTCTATGATAGGCACATTTTTTACCACCCCCCCTCCCTTTTAAAGATGTACAACCTGAAGTTCAAAAAGGTTAAAAGAATTTGCTTAAGGTTCTTCAGCTAATCAGTTAGCAAAGCTGGGTCGTGCACTCAGATCTGTCAAAAATCCAAAGCATAGGGAAAGCACCATGCTGTACTGCTTTCTCATAAGGGTAGCTATAATTTTTTTGAGTCACTGCAATATGCCAGGCATTTTGCTAAATTACAAACATCTCAGCAGAATATGGTTGGGGAGAAATTTTTGATACTAACAAAAGCAGGAAAGAGGTCTTCTAGAAGTTTTATTTATTCTCTCGTGTAAATATATAATCAATATTTGCACATCCTACTCAACCTGTTTTCCGTAAGATTTTTAGTTTGCTCACAAAGTTTGCCACCACCACAGTACATTTGAAAAATCATAGTCAGGTAGACAGAGTGATTGCAAGCTGGGGTTTCAGGACTTCCAGACGAAGGGCCAATTTGTTTGGTTCCTTTTTAAAGGTGCAGAGTATGCAGGATCCCAAGAACGGAGAGATAAGTAAGATTTGAGTCTTGCCTTTTCAGTTCTGTTCTCTCCCAGCTGGGGAATTAGAGAGGGTATCACAAAGGAAGGAACGCTAAAGCTTGATTTCAAACCCTGACCTAGAGAAAGAAGACATCAGGCTGAAAGAACTTCATTAACATAAGGTAGAGGTGTTTGAAAGTCCATGGTCTATTTCTGGAATGAAATAGTAGTCCATTGTGGGCAGTTTGGGGCTTGATTGAAAGATGTGGAGGGAGGAGAAGCTTAAGGGGGATCAGATTTATTTGAATGGTACTCTGTATCCATGCCTACACATGTGGAAAGTAGTTACTCAGGTTTTTGTTTCTTCTACATTCAAGATCATTTGAAGCATGATTTATAAAGAAAGTCAGATCTCAAGGGTGTCCTGCAAGATGTCTTAAAAAGTCTTAACTCTGAGATGGCAGTGATTGAAACATAGTGTGGGAAGGAAGAACAATATATAAAGAAGAAGAAACAGGTAAAGGAAAAGAAATACAGTAAAACTTTTTAAAATTATGCTTTTTCTCTTTAGAAATTTGGCGGGTGCACTGTAAAACAAATGTTCTTTGATGCCTGAGTGTGGTTAGTTACAAGTTGTATTCAGAACCTGGATCCATATTTAAATTACTAAAGATGGCCTGCTTAATCTCTGTGATCAGCAAAGGAGAAGTGATCACAAAGTGACTAAGTCTTGCCATTTTAAGCCATGAAGACAGTTTTGTCAAAATTATCCTTATCCATCCTCTTTACTCAACTAGTCTGAATTTTAGTCCCCATTGGGGTTGTGAAAGACAGTCTTTTCTAGGATAATTTTTTCATCATAAATGTGTTTAGTTGTCCTAACTCTGCTCTCTCCTCACCCTGTACTTGGAATTCATTTTTCAGTTTATATAAATCCAAAGAGAAACTGACAGTCATCTACAGAGTCCTCATGACTTTTTTTCAGACTAACAAAAAATGATGTTTTCCAGCTTTTTATAATCCCAAAGACTTCTTTATTTCTTTTTTTTTTTTAAACAGCTGTATTGAGGTATAATTTTTATACAAAAAAAACTACACATGTTTAACATAACACAATTTGATGAGTTGGGACATATGCATATACCTATGATACCATCACCTAATAATCAAGGTAATACATATATCTGTCATCTCTACAAGTTTCCATGTGTCTGCCTGTGTGTGTGTGTGTGTGTGTGTGTGTGTGTGTGTGGTTAAAAATGTATAACATGGTATCTACCCTCTTAAGAAATTTTTAAGTGCACACCACCATGTTGTTAACTATAGGCACTATGTCCTATAGTGAGTCTCTAGAACTTACTCATCTTGTATAACTGAAACTTGAAATCCATTGAACAACTCCCCAAAGACTTTTTTTTTTTGTTAAATTTTTTTTTTCAACGTTTATTTATTTTTGGGACAGAGAGAGACAGAGCATGAACAGGGGAGGGGCAGAGAGAGAGGGAGACACAGAATCGGAAACAGGCTCCAGGCTCTGAGCCATCAGCCCAGAGCCTGACGCGGGGCTCGAACTCACGGACCGCGAGATCCTGACCTGGCTGAAGTCGGACGCTTAACTGACTGCGCCACCCAGGCACCCCAAGACTTTTTAAATTAAAATGATTTCCAAAGGAAGGAAACATCTTTTAACCTAAGAAATGCTGTTGCTAAAGCATATCATCCTTTCTATAGTCTCTGACAAATCTAGCTTTTTTAAAAGTAACTTATAGTTGTTTGAGTTTATTTTAAAACATCCTTAGCAAGTATATTTTAAATTGTATTAGTATTTAAGGGAGCATTAGTTTTTTTTGTGCAATTAAAGATCAACTTTAATGTTGAAGATGTTACTCATAGACTGTCATGGGCTTTAAAAATCATATCCTTAATACATATAAAAACAATAAAAGCATATTTACTTCTTTGATAAGTAAACACAAAGATAAAAAATAAACACTAAGTTAGCTTTTGACGTTTGCTGTGGGAATGAGAATGGCATTATGTTTAGCGATATTGGTCTTTACCAGGCAAACATAAATTGGAGAGTAGACATTGTTTTTGGTTGCTTAGAAGTTTGAATAGAGGAATTACTATATTAATATCTAGAGAAAATGAGACTCGCCTGTATAATTTTTAAAGTGTGATGTGAACTATTACTTGGAGCATAGTATCTTATCCAAAGGTTTTGCTTTAATTGCTAATTTCCTTCTTTAGGACTTGGCTCAGCAAGCAAAAGAAACACTGAACAAAGGAGAGGAAACCAACAAAGATAAATTTGGAAGCACTGAATGCAGCAAAACAAGAACAATGGATCTCAAGTTCAACAGTTCCAGGAAATATATTTCTATAACTGTCCCTCCCAAAACACAGACAATGTCACCACACATCAAGTCAATAGATGACATTGTGGTGCTTGGCATAAATCTCAGCAGATTTAACAAACTTACTCAGTTTTTCATATGTGTTGCTGGAGTTTTTGTATTTTACCTAATTTATGGATATTTACAGGTAAAAATATTTATTTACAAGATGCTAATTATTTATAACAGTTGAGGTCAATAAGAGCATTACTAATAGTTTTACCCAAGGTAGTTTTCTCCATAGGATACCAGTTTATTCACATTTTTGAGTTTTTTAAATATGGAAAAAGACTTTCTAAAAGTTAGTGTGCTCCTTTTTTCAGGGATCAAAATTTCACAGTTGAACATTTCAGATGGGAGAGGAACAGAGACCATCTTAAAAAATTAAAATTATGAACACAATTTGAACTATTTATTGTGTTTAACAAAATGGGGGTAATATGCACCCATGTGTTTGTAAAGAGTGATTCAAGTATTCGCTGATATATTGGAACATAATTCTCCAATAAAATTGAATAATAACACAAAAGTCATATTCTAGCCCACGGTTGATTCTTGGAGCTCATTAGAGTGATCTTAAAAATTATTGTATTCTTTTTGATTATCGTATATAGATGAAATATAAAAGTATAAATAAAGAAGATGGTAGAATTGATTATTCCTTACCTTGTAAAAATGCTATGAGGAGTATTAGCGTGAAATAAAAACATGAATTAAAAATCTTAGTATTTATAATAACTAATTTCCCCACTAGAAGATGATACAAACATTCAGATATCACAATGAAGAGCAATGAAAAATAGTAAATTTTATCAAAGAAAGGTTGCAGTTTCTTGTTAAGAAATATTTTATTTCTTCAAAATACCATTGTTACCAAATAGTTTGGGAGCAGAGTTAGTCATTAGAAAGGAAACTGAATTAGAAGTTTGCCGTACAAATTTATGTTAATCTTTTTCTGTTTGATTAATGAGCAGAGACTTAATAATCTATGCAAAACTTCTTTTAAAATTAGATAAACATCACTTTCACTTTGTGACAACTGATGTTGCTAGCATATTAAAATAGTTTAGGGGCATCTGCGTGGCTCAGTTGGTTAAGTGTCCGATTCTTGATCTCTGCTCAGGTCATGATCTCACAGCTTATGAGATTGAGCCCCGTGTCAGGCTCTGCACTGATAGTGCAGATTCTGCTTGGGATTCTCTCTCTCCCTCTCTCTCTCTGACCCTCCCTGGCTCGTGCTCTCTCTCTCTTGCTCTCTGACTCTCAAAAATAAATGAAAAAAAGAAAAGCTTTAAAATAGTTTAGAGAAAATGGTGGGGTTTTGTAATGAAGTTATTTATATATATATAAGTATAATATATCTGAATGCTAGCATACTTAATAAAGCTATTTTCATGTTTTTTAGTTCATGTGCCAGAAAATTCCTAAATACCTTGCAGACGTACTTGCACATGAAGTAAATTTGGGGAATTACACAGTATCTAGTTCAGAGTTTATGAGGGAGGGTGATTTATTGGATTAAGCCAAATAACTATTGGAATACCTCTTAATGACTTGTTAATAATGGCTTATTAACAATTAATATAAATGTTACTTCATGACACAACATTGTGTTTAGATAAGTAACTGTTTACAAGGAGAAATTTCATAAAATCCGTGGCCCAGATATTCCAAAAAATAACATTGGTTTGAACTGATTAAATTCCTATAGAAAAAACAGGTCTGAGATAATAAACTTCTGATGAAATATATTTATTGTATCATAAAGGAGTTCTTGACCCAGGGACCTTTCTCAATGTTTGGGGCAATTTTTAATTTTGGCAATCTTTTTTTTTTTTTTTTTTTTTTTAAAGAGCAAAGCATAGGATAATGTTGCTTTATAGCCAGCCTTCCTCCCTTTGTTTTTCTCACTCAGTTCTTTGGAAAGGCCTCCTGGACTTCTCTAATTTTACCTTTGAGGTGCCTTGTGATTTGGATGGTGTTTTGATTTTTGGTGGGTTTTTTTGTTTTGTTTGTTTTTTTGGTGGTGGTGGTGGTGGTGAGGCTTGGTTTCTTTTAAAATGTGTTTATAGGGGCACCTGGGTGGCTCAGTTGGTTGAGCGTCCAACTGCGGCTCAGGTCATGATTGCACGGTTTGTGAGTTCGAGCCCCGTGTCGGGCTCTGTGCTGACAGCTCAGAGCCTGGAGCCTGTTTCGGATTCTGTCTCCTTCTCTCTCTGCCCCTCTCCACTTGTGCTGTGTCTCTCTGTCTCTCAAAAATAAATAAATGTAAAAAAAAAAATTTTAATGTTGTGTTTATAGGAATTTATTGTGAAGAAATTGGTTTGCCCAAGAACTTAACAGTATTCATGTATCTCTTGACAGGAATTAATATTTTCAATGGAGGGTTTTAAGTCCTTTGGCTGGTACCTAACTTTAGTACAGTTTGCATTTTACTCCATATTTGGCCTAATAGAACTTCAGCTTATTCAGGACAAAAGGAGAAGGTATGTAGTTTGTTTTTATTTTTTTGACAGTTAAATTCATTAGTAGTAGTTAAATTTTTTGTTTTGTGTTTTGGGAATGTGGAGTATATTATACATGCAATATACATATTTCCTATTAATAAAACATATCTAATACCCAAGAATTTTTATCAGTATAATCAACTTACTAAAAAATACTAAATATATTTCCTTTATACCCTGAAAAAAAGTGGTCTCTCTTACGGTGTAATGTTATCAGAAAAATGTAGTTTAGGCTCAACTTACAGTAAATGTATCTTCTTGAAACGAGAGAAAGTATCAAATGTACATAAGTGTTTTTATAAATTTCACTGAAGTGGGTGTGATTACTGAAAGACTTACAGTGCTACTAAGATCAAAGTGATGAAATGAACTATCAATGCCACTTTTATAGTGGTCTTTGAAATGTACAGTTAATGTTTGGTGGGATATGCTCTGCTTAATATTGTTGTATTTGTAATGTCCAGGACCTGAGACTGCATGTTTAGACATCAGAGAAATTTCATAACGTGTGTTTTCATTAAAACTACAGGAGCTTGTTTAACAGTGTATTTTAAATTGACCATCTAGATTTGAGAAATATCTCAAAATATTTTTAATGGTATACTGAACAATGTGCAATAAAAACCTGATTATATACAAGAGGAGGTTAGGAAATTGAATGTAACTTCTGTAAGTGTGGTTATCCTGTCATATCAGACTTTAATATGTGAACATTTCATGTATGTATCGGGCAGTTTAAATGCAGTAAAGGAGCTATAATACTGACATTCGATCTTCATTGATACAAATGTTCAATCTTTCAGTAAAAATAGGATATTTTCACAGCTGCTATTTTTCTTACAAATATATTTTTGATATTTCTAAGAAGATAACTATAAAATTTTAAATATTTAAGTCTATACCACTGGTATTTCTTCATAGTCCTAATTCATAGTTCTCAACCTCTTTACTGCCAATAAATTTTTAGAGCAGTCATAGTAAAATGTTTGAATCTGAGGATAGCATTTGTATTATTTTCATGCTCTAAAACTGCCATTCTCAGTCACAGGTGATAGAATAAAAAGTAATTAAATATATCTGTCAAGACTAATATGTAGGAAAACCTGATGATTCATTACCAATTGCAAACTGCTGGACGTCTGTTTTCAAAGTAAAAGAACCTAACACTGTCTTTCTTAAATGGAAAGTGATACCAAGATACGCCTCCCTGTCATCTACCCAAATGAGATGGGGAGTGTGCCTCCGGCCATGTTTATCCCTGCCTTTAAACCACATGACTGTAACATGTTTAAAGATAAAATCATTTCTGTTTGATTTAAACATAAATGAAGGAGTGTAGGAAAAGAATTTACAGATGAAGATAATTATGAGTTGAAACCTTTTCATTTCCATGGCACATTAAAACATTTTTAGAAAAACTCTTTAAAGGTATGTTACAATGAAAATATGCTCAGTCACATATTTCTGAATTTATTTAAATGCCACTGTTCTCTAAATCTTGAGTTAGCCAGATTCTTTGCTTAGTTTTTTTTTTCCCCCTTTCTTCCTATGTTTATATGAATACCTTGTACTTGAAAGAGAAAAGGATATGGAGTCAGAAAACATGTATTTGAGTCTTGGCATGGCCTCTAATTAGCTGTCCTAAGACCTCAAGGGAGTTTCTTAAGTTCTCTGACCTTTGAGGACCACTCCGTAATGTGTGGTAAAGCATATTGTAAGTTGCAATACCCTGAACCGGCTACTTGTTATTTTTCACCAAAGATTACCTTGTAACTTTGTTGTTACTTTATTTGAGTTTTTAAGGAAGATCTGTCAAATTGGTTTTGAAGGGGCTATTTAAAGTCACAATTTCCCCACCATGTCTAAAGAAGTAAGAAATTGAGATACTAAATAAAACAGACCCAGTGAGCACCCCAGAGGCAGGATGATGAATCTAATAACCTCCTGGTTTCACCAGTGAGCGAACACCCCTGGAGGAGGCTGGGGCCTTCAGGAGTCTCTATGGCAAGTTGCTCTCAGAGTTGCGACCTTCTGAATATAGGTCTCCTGAGTTTCAGGCTGGTTTTCTTTCGACCTGTTACGCTACTTTTTAATCAACATTCCTTATGATTTTTCTGACTTGAGGTTTTTTTTAATTTTCTGGCCACTATTTGCAATTTATCTCTGAGGAAATTTGATCACTGTGACTTCTGTCATTACCTGGAAGAGTAGTGCTGTCCTTCCCTGGTGATGCCTCACTGAGGATTAGACCCCACAGACAGCATGTAAATCAGTGTTTGTGTTCTACACTGATGCATATGGGCATGCCACGTTATTTCCACACGGACTTTAAATGTTGACTACTGTATTAGCGGTTGAGTAGGAGAGGCCTGAAAATTGAAATGTAAATGGGAAGGATACATTTTAATTGAATTTTCCAGTAAATTATTTTGCCTTATATGTAGCCAAATAAAAACTATGGAGGAATTTTGTTGCCTTGATTTAATCCCAAAATGGAAGCTACATCTAAGTATGCAGCATAATCTAATTATGTGCATAGTACTTCACGTGTTAGTCACACCAGTGTACAGGGTTATTTTAGACCAATAAATATCCAGTCAAAGTGCACAATAATAGTGCAAAATTCTGAAGATGTCATATTAAAAATCCCCTTTAGGAAATTCAGATAGGACCCCAGGTAGTGATTTGGAATCGTTAGGAGGGGAATCAGATACCTCATCTTGAAGCTAATTGTTTTAACATTTTATGGAATACAGAATTAGAGTTCACCCATATGACATTGTGGTAAGAAAAATCACGTTCAACGTTTTAAACTGCCATGTACTTTTTCTGCAGGTACTCTGCTCAGGATATTTTAGCAGAAGGGCTAGACGTATTTTTCCTAATGCTAGATGGGAACATTAGGAAACAACAATTTAGAAGTTGAAAATTAGTTAAGGTTCCTTTTACCATTATGGAGGTCAATATTTTTTAAAACTCTTTTTTTCCAAATTTAGTCAAGATGGTTTTTATACGTAGGTAGAACTGCTGTTAAAAAACTTCTTACCAGGGCGCCTGGGTGGCTCAGTCGGTTAAGCGGCCGACTTCGGCACAGGTCATGATCTCACGGTCCGTGAGTTCGAGCCCCGCGTCGGGCTCTGTGCTGACAGCTCAGAGCCTGGAGCCCGTTTCAGATTCTGTGTCTCCCTCTCTCTCTGACCCTCCCCTGCTCATGCTCTGTCTCTCTCTGTCTCAAAAATAAACGTTAAAAAAAAAAAATTAAAAAAAAAACTTCTTACCAACGTTTCAGACCATCCAGAAGAATCTGCAGAACTCTGTAGTACACCGTGTTTCACACAGCTGAAAGTTCTCACTTGTGATCAATTAAATAAGGGTAAATTGTTGCTTTTACCAACATTCTTTTGTATGAATACAGCGTGATAACCTTTAAAATAGTGATATTTCACCAGTATTTGTAGAAATATTCATCAGAAATTAGACATTTACACATTGTAAACACATTATCTTATAATAGTGTGAATCGGGTCCCAAATGAAGATTTTAAAAATTGTCTTTTACAGAATACCAGGAAAAACCTACATGATAATAGCTTTTCTAACTGTGGGTACTATGGGGTTATCAAATACTTCCTTGGGCTACCTGAATTATCCCACCCAAGTCATCTTCAAGTGCTGCAAATTGATTCCTGTTATGCTAGGAGGAGTTTTTATTCAAGGTATAGTAATGATATGTTTTCATACTGTTTGAAACTAATAGGATCTGTTACGGCATCTAGCATTAGGAAAAACCTGAAACTCCAATTAATATTTTTTAATGAACATTCGAAATATCAGAACAATTCTGAGTGACATTGTATCAAAATAAGATATTATAAAAACACTGATACTTCTGCAATATCCCCTAGTCTTTGCCGTCAGTAATTTGGACTGGGGAAAAATAAAAATAGTACTTTTTTAAATTACTTTTTCTTTTAGTCGGGAATCCATCACATTTCCAGAAATACTGCATTCATCTATTGAAGACGTAGCTCAGAAATACCTAGAAAACTCCTCTTTTCAATTCTTTCATTCTTCTGCTCTGCAGGGCTCCTCTCTCTACCTCTATCATACACACGGACAGTTCTCACACTGAAGTAAAGGTTAACCTGAGCAGAACTGCTTTTTTACCAACTCTGCTGGCTCACTGACTTCCTAGAGCCCCAACTAAATTACAGGCTATGTGAAAATAGGAGCGAAAGAGGAAGCAATGATAGCAAGTGGAACACATTTTTGTTGTTTCTATAACAGTCATGCAGAATATTCATGTTTTGACAATCAAGGGTTTCTATTTCACTAAAGTTCTTATACAGCCTGACTTCATTTTTTACATTAGAGGCCTTCCCACAAAAGCCCTTTGAAATGAAAGTATGGATGTCAACTACTTCATGTATAATTTCAGGGTAACTGTTGATGCAGGAAAAAGTACTGATACCCTTCCCTATTAAAAACCACATGCATGTGTAATACGTCCTTAACAATCCTTACCAAAAAGTTACACTACATGATTTTATTATTTAGATGTGGATCTACTAAAATAGGTTCATTCGCACCAATTCTGATTATGGTAGTTGCAAACTTAAACAGTTATGCAGCCTGGAAAATTGCTCTGGTTACTTTGTAAACGTATGGGCTGTAAGAAAATTCAGAATCTTCTAATATACACGAAGTAAAAAAGGCACTCATGTCCATGCACTTTAAATGTTCATATTTACTCACCATAACAGATAAGGTAGGATCTCATACTCCTAAGGACATGTTGCTGCTCATTGGTGATTGAATTTTCCGAAGCCCTTCTGTGACTGTCTAAGGCACTGATCTAAGCATTCTTCGTATGTTTTTTGACTTTGGATATAAAAAGCAGATCCTGCTATACTTGGTTAGACACATAGATCTAAAACTGTGTCAAGTGGGCATGTGCATAATAAGGTTGGCTTACATTTATTTTACACAGGGAAGCGTTACAACATTGCAGATGTGTCTGCTGCCATGTGTATGAGCCTTGGCCTGATATGGTTCACCCTAGCTGACAGCACGGTTGCACCAAATTTCAACCTGACTGGTAAGGAAATTGTTTGTGCTGCTCAGATTTTACAGGCATTTGGGTTTAGAGTAAGAACTTTTATAATTTCATGAGAATTTTAAACGATAGTGTGACATCTATGATTTTCGTATCTGACATAAAGCTTTTGGACTTTCTGTATAAGATGTAGTAAAAATATGTAACAGTTCTTTTTAGTGCTCTGGTATCTTGACATGACAAAAGGCTGTGCGGCCAGTCAAAACCTTCTGTGATCCAGTACAGGATAGATGAGTTTCTTATGGGCCGAATCAGAAGTATACACATTAGTTATAGGAGAATCACAGTAGTAACTTTTTATTCTTTTTTTAAAAAAAAAAATTTAAATTGCACATTTACTTGTCATTATTTTAGCTAAAGAGGAAAAGTTATGCTATACGTTAACATAGAACTGTGTACTCTAAATATGTCTATAACCTTACAGTGCTTGAAGTTTCCACCATGAACAGTTTCCTCCTTGTGTGTCCCGTGGAATTTTGCAAATAAAATTTAGATTTTTCACAGGCAAAATAGGTATTCTGTATATTTAGAACTAAATAAGAATAAAAAATGTGTTATAATATTGTTTTTGTTCTAACGACCTTGAAGAGAAATTATTATATTATTATATACACAGTATTGTCATTCTTATTCTGTTGAGTTTTATTCATAAGCTTAGTATCATCCCATCTCCTAGCCTGACAAAGGTAGTATTTAAAATACTTACGTGTTGGGGCGCCTGGGTGGCGCAGTCGGTTAAGCGTCCGACTTCAGCCAGGTCACGATCTTGCAGTCCGTGAGTTCGAGCCCCGCGTCAGGCTCTGGGCTGATGGCTCAGAGCCTGGAGCCTGTTTCCGATTCTGTGTCTCCCTCTCTCTCTGCCCCTCCCCCGTTCATGCTCTGTCTCTCTCTGTCCCAAAAATAATTAAAAAAAAAAAAAAAAAAGTTGAAAAAAAAAAATTTAAAATAAATAAATAAATAAATAAAATACTTACGTGTTCAGGGCAGGTCTTGGTGGCCGGAGGAGGAGTAGGTGCAGGTAAAGGTGGCAGCAGCCAAGGCCACGGACTGCATCATGGAGGTCACCTGGGGCCAGGCAGAAAACAGCAGGAAGCCCAGTGCTGACATGCAAAGATCACTACTTTGATTCCAGTGCTCACTTTGGCATTTCGAAAGAGATGCTGAAAGATGAGGCACTCACCCTCATGTACCAAAACTCCGTGTTTCATAGCCAACACCTCTTTGTGGACAACATGGTACTGGACGTGGGCTCTGGCCAAGGGATCCTCTGTATGTTTGCTGCCAAGGCTGGATCCCGCAAGGTCATTGGTCATTGGGATCCAGTGCTCCAGTATCTCTGATTATGTGGTGCAGATTGTCAAAACCAACAGTTTAGACCGTGTGGTGACCATCACCAAGGGGAAGGTGGAGAAAGTAGAGGTTCCAGTGAAGAAGGTAGACATCATCATCAGTGAGTAGATGGACTGCCGCCCCTTCTACAAGTCGATGCTCAATATGGTGTTCCAGACAAGTGGCTGACACCTAATGGCCTCATCTTCCCAGACTGAGCCATGCTGTATGTGACAACCATTGAAGACCAGCTGTACTAAGACTATGAAGATCCACTGTTGGGAGAACATATATGGCTTTGACATATCTTGTGTCAAAGACATGGCCATCAGAGAGCCCCTGGTGGATGTGGTGGACCCCAAGCAGCTGGTCACCAATGCCTGCCTCATGAAGGAGGTGGACATCTACACTGTCAAGGTGGAAGACCTAACCTTCACCTCCCCCTTCTGCCTGCAAGTGAAGCACGCCCTGGTGGCCTACTTCTACATCAAGTTTACTTGCTGCCCCAAGAGGACAGGCTTCTCCACCAGCCCTGAGTCCCTGCACACACACTGGGAGGAGACAGTGTTCTACATGGAGGACCACCTGACAGTGAAAACAGGCGGAGAGATCTTTGGCACCATTGACATTCAGCCCAGTGCCAATAATAATCGAGATCTGGACTTCACCATTGACCTGGACTTCAAGGGCCAGCTGTGTGAGCTGTCCTGCTCTACTGACTACCACATATGCTGAAGCAGCACCTGGCTTCTCCCACAGGCCCAGGGGCAACAGTGTTCTTAGGTGGTTCTTCTCTTCCCTCCCTCAGAAGGGCTTTTTTTAGGGCCTGGGCTGAGGGGCAGGGCACATCATGGCTATGTTTTTCATAATTTATGCTTTTATATGGTTGCATTTATTGCCAGTAGATCCTCAATGGGGGGGAGGAGAGTAAAAATAAAATAAAATACTTACGTGTTCATAGGAACTCTGAAGAAACGGAAAAAATTTATTCATGAGAAAAAGGTACTACATAATGAAGAAAATGATTTACATCAGCTTTGCTATTCCTAAGAATCAAAATCTTTCTTCATGGCTGTTAGTCAGCCTTCTTTATTTACTAACCTGGTTAACCAGGCTAAGTTAATGGGTTTAAATGTAACCAGCACAGCCTCTTGGAGTAATCCTTCAACAACCAAAAGATTCTGATGGAACCTCTTACAACATCTGTTTCAACTTTGCTCAGAGTACAGGTGATCATTACTTCACTGAGTTTTCCTCTGAGAAAGAAGCTTATAGTTACAGATGTGTCTGACATGGTGTAGATTTTTCAAGAACGCTTCGTGTCAGCAACTCTCAAAGGAAAATTATGTATGGAAACTGAGGTAATTGACTTTTTTACTTATTGAAAAAGCAATTTTAGAGAAGGCACAATTTGCAGTCAGAATCACGGCTTCAAATTCTGTTCAGATCACCTAAAATTATAACCCTGGCTAAAGTGCCAGACCCCTTTGTACTCTCCCCTTAAAACAGAGATCATGATGATAGCTTGCCTCACACAGAGGTGGTGGGAGGATTGACTGAGGTGATGGAACAGTGGGTATGAATGAAAGCACATGCGCGTGCTGAGGGTGAAAGTGACAATAAAGATGGGCTGAAGTGGTGTCATTGGTGTCGGTGGTCCCGCAACCTCTCAAGGTGACATGACCGCTGACCTTTTCCAACTCCCATGGAAATATTTTGTAAGAAAATTAGAACCTGGTCAACTTCATCATTAAGAATAACTGATGAGCACTTATCATGGTCTCTGATCTGTAATAATAATATTATCTAAAGGAGATTAGATTAACTGTTTAGGTAGTTATTTAAGATAGACATAAATAAAACTTTGAATGTGTAAAGTGAATATATCTGAATTTACTTATGCAGATAAATGTCTGCCTTTAAATATTCCCCTTAGAATGTAGTTCAAGCATTTTCATGCTGTGTTGCCTTTGTTCAGAACATTTTTAGAATGTCTTTGAATAGCCTGCCGGGAGCGAGGATGTTGTATTCAAGTCTTCAACAATAGCCCGTCTTTGTTTCAAGGACAGGTTTCATATTTGAAATAAGTAAAAGAGCATTCAGGATCAAGTTTGGTGAATAAAAATGTATGATTAGGTAATAAATACCACAAAGTTAGATGATGAAAAGGCAAACTGAAGAATAAATATGAAAACTTGAAAATTCTCAAGTGCACACACATGCACATATATTTTTCTGCTCCATGTAATTGCTTCTGCATTGTTTAAAAAAATGAAAAGGGGGAAACTCCCATAGGTCCCAGCAGACTCGCAGACGTAACCAAGGCTGCTTTTTGTTCTTTCTGTAAAGCACATGGCTGGTGACCGGTGTCCTGAACACTTCAGGTAACCAACCACCTGCTTCTTAGGTAGATGTGCCTATTCACATTGGTGTATTGATTTCCAGATTTGTACATGCCAGTTGTACTGTTACAACTAGGTAATAATATTGCTTGCATTGTGCAGAAATGAAGGACACCTGGGTGGCTCAATCGTTGAGCGTCCGACTTCAGCCTAGGTCATGATCTCACGGTTCACGAGTTCGAGCCCCACATCAGGCTCACTGCTGTTGGTGCAAAGCCCATTTCAGATCCTCTGTCCCCTCTCTCTGCCCCTCCCCAACTTGCGCTCTCTCAAAAGTAAATATTTTTTTTAAATTGTTTAAAAATGAGTGAAGAGAGAATTGTTTCTGTTAATTGAAACAATATGGTTGACTAGTCAACAGAATCATTGTTGAATTAGGTGTGGAGGAAACAACTGTAAAAATAGCAGGATATCATAAAAGCATGAAGGGATTCTGTCCCCCCCCCGACTGTGTCCGAAATTCCTGTGTTTTCCTGTATGCTTTTTAACAAAAACAACTGGGAAATTATTAACGGTGTGTGTTATGAGTATGGTTTTTGTTAGGACACATATTCAAAGAAAAGACCTTGGCAACTATGTGTATGTTTATGTGTTTTAAATGTTTTAATAATGTAGGTAATTTCTTTTATGATTTCCATCCTCATCTGATTTTTTCAATTAACTAACTACCAGTCCCGATAGAGCTCCTAAGAATTTCTTCTGTATGTGTTTAATAGAGTATTCCTTTCAAACATTTAACCTAAACAGAACTATTATTTTATATAATAATGAAACACAGTAAGGTGGCAACTTTAATGTAGTTTATTAGTGTCCATTACCTTTTTTTTTTGACGTTATCATCCATGCGCCCAATTATAGCTGGTTGTGGACGAAAATAATCCATTTTTACTGAGCAAATGTGATTTAAGATCTGCTTTGGTTTTTCAGCCAAGTTAAATCTCTGGTAAATCTTGATTGTCATTCCCATGTTTAAATAAGGAGGTTGTATTTTTCTGCACTTTCTTGAAGGTGTGATCCTTATTTCCCTGGCACTGTGTGCGGACGCCGTCATTGGGAACGTTCAAGAGAAAGCCATGAAACTGCACAATGCTTCCAACTCAGAAATGGTAAGTGCTCTGGTGTTTTTTTCTCCACGATGGACAGGCTCAGAAATGGTGACGTGCTTCATTTTGCGAACCACTTCTGGTGTTGGAGACTGGCACGGCATGTTCCAACTGGTTTGTCGTCATTATTTTCACAAAAGTAATCCATGCAAACATTACAGGAAATGAAAAAGTAAAAATACCATTACCACTATGGAGCTTATTGTATAATATTTGATGAATATTTTCCCTATTTCTAGAGTTTTTTACATATTAAAAAATCCTTTGTTACATCACTTTTCTCCTCTCTTTGTATTTGGCATTATCTTCCATTTAGAAGCTTGTGATTTTTATATGGTTGATCCTTTCCTTCATGGCTTCTGGAAACATATTACGATTGAAAAGGGCTTTCCCATCTCTTAAGATTTAAGAATTTTACCCAGGTTGCCTATCCATTTTATGATTTCCTTTGTAATTAAAGCTTCGATCTAGCCAACACTTTAAAAGATTTTTCTTCCATATGGCTATCCACTAGCCCCAATTTCATTTATTGAAAGATCCACTTTTCAGCCTAAGTGCCTTCTTTATCATATTATAGTGTAATGTAGGATTCAGAATTATATTCTTTTGGATTTCTTTCTGCACCCAAACCATGTGATGACAGCAGCTTTGTCATACATTTACCATCTGCTAAGACTAGCCAGCAATGTTCCTTTTGTTTTTCAGAATATTACTACCATGGTTATTCTTGGGTGTTCATATCCCCAAATAAACTAGAAATCGCATTGCTATTGTGATTGGTATAGCACTGAATTATAACTTAATTTAGGGAGAATGACATCTATACACTTGATTCTTTCAGTCCAAGAATAAGGTATGACTTTCCTTTTATTCAAGTGTTTTTTTTTTCCAATGTCCCTTAGATTTTTTTTTTTTCATATAAATCCATATTTCTTATTGAAGCTATTGTTAGGGGTTTCATCTTTTTGCTGTTGTTACTGCTAATAACGCTCTTTCTTTCCCTATACCTTCTACCTGGTTGGTATTTATATATAGGAAAGTTACCATATGTATGTTTACATTAATTTTCTAACCAACCTCTTGCTAGACAGAACGTACTACATTAAGAGTATATAGGAATGGTCTTTCCTGTTACTTTGTCAGCAGAGTGAGCATCTTAAAGGAGTCTTTAATCTCGGTCAGAAGTTTTCTTGATGATCGTCACCACTCTTCCTGGGTAAGGTCAAGATCAGAGAATTAAGGAAGTGTAAATAGTTAGAAGTACAATGGTTAAGAGCTTAGGCTCTGGGCTAAGATCACCTCAGTTTATATCCCAACTTGACGAGCTCTCTTATTTGGGGAAAATGACTTACTGTCTCTAAGTTTTAATTTCCTCATCTGCAGGTTGAGGCGTAAGTGGAATTATTCATAGAGAGCATTGTTAACACGGTACCTGCAGCGTCACACGTCTGTAAATTTGATGACGATGCTGCTGCTGACTGTTCTGAGAGTATACTAAACCGGGATAGAAAGATTGGTAGGAAAACTGGGAAATGAAGCAATAGATATGCCAGATACTGCTTATTTTCCTTATATTTTAATTTCTTTGCAAATTTAACGTTTGGGTGTTTTCATGTTTAATAAGTAGCTTTAAAGTTATTTTGTTTTATTTATATGTGTTTTTAGAACCCCAACAATAAAATGTGGTTTGAGTTCAGTAATTAAGCCAGGCAAAAAAATGAATATTATGTGACCGTATATATGAAAGGATCAGTACTGCTGTGTTACCTTATACGTAAAAAAAAGCTGTAAACTTCGAAACAGGATCCGTCATCGTCTCGACAAAGTTAGGCCGTATTGAAATAATGATGTTACTTAAAAAATGGTTTGTTCTTCACATTTAATTAATTAAGCCATGTATTAAAAATCCTTCATTTTCTGCCTTTGGTTTGATAGCATTTTTTTTCCCACTATATTTTTATCTACTATAGGTTTTGTATTCGTATTCCATCGGTTTTGTGTACATTTTACTGGGATTGACATGCACTAGTGGATTAGGCCCTGCAGTAACATTTTGTTCAAAGGTAAACACTAATCATATTTTTAAAAATAAACATCTCCCATTAAATAGTCTCCTCTGTATTTCTTGTTCAAAAAGATTATTTTTATGTAATTTGATAACTCCTTTAATATAATATATGCAGATCAGAAATTATTTCAGAAATGAAATGATTTATATTTAAATTTATTTTATCCTTGCTCTACCCTATAAGTTAATTTTTAAGCGATGCATAATGTGTAAAAGTTGGGATTTTTAATTTCATCATTGTTTTTCCATTAAATCGGAACTAAATAAGAATCTTTGCTTGACTGCATTGTTGAATGGCTTATTACTACTCAGGAGGTTGATTAAAATCTGCAGTTTTATTTCATTTGTAATACCTCAGGGTTTGTTTTGCATTTTCCTAACAGGCTCTTTTTATATGTTGCAGAATCCAATTCAGACCTATGGTTATGCTTTCCTTTTTTCCCTCACTGGGTATTTTGGAATCTCCTTTGTTCTGGCTTTGATTAAAATTTTCGGTGCACTTCTTGCTGTAACAGGTATGAATGATATACTTGCTTAGATTATGAAGTAAACATTTAAGTTTTCTCTGACTCTCATTTTCAAAAGATACGGGCAGCGTCTACTCTGCGTTAAAAAGAAAATTGTTGTATTTCATCAATTTGTTTTTTGGCTTATGGTATTTCTTTAAAATTCTAAAGAAAATGATGTTTCCTCATAATATTTTATTTATTTGAAGGTTTAATTTTAAAATCAAATATGTATATATATCTAAATAGTAACTTTTAAATGCATTAAAAGAATTTTTCATTAAAAAGTGTGATGGGCTATGGGGCGCCTGGGTGGCTCAGTCAGTTAAGTGTCCAACTTCAGCTCAGGTCATGATCTCGCAGTTTGTGAGTTCAAGCCCCACATCAGGCTCTGAGCTGTCAGCACAGAGCCTGGAGCCTCCTTCAGATTCTGTGTCTCCCTCTCTCTCTGCCCCTCCCCCACTCACACTCTGTCTGTCTCTCTCTGTCTCTCTCTCTCTCTTTCAAAAATAAAATAAACATTAAAAAAAATTTTTTTTTAAAGTGTGATAGGCCAAATACCTTCAGAGAAAAATGCTGCTTTTATATACACTTTTAATTTATAACAAAAATTCTAGTTTTGATGCACGGAAAATATGGCAGCTATATTTCAAACAAAGCTTTGGACCTTCATTCGTACCCTTTCTGGGGCATTAGCCAGATTAGCTTCTCTTGTCACTAATAATTATTATGCACCTGCTTTGTGCAGGAACTTTGCTTGGCACTTTAGAGGAATGGAAGTTATATTTGTTATGCTTTGGAGGAGTCAGGAAAACAGATGAGAGGCTACAGGTGAGGCCCAGTGAAAAAGATAGATGATTCCATGTGCTAACCTCGTACCATTTGCCAAGTGAATGGTCCAGATGACAAATGCACTCAGCATCTCCCATATGGAGAGAGCGCTGAAAGGAGCCCAGGATTGGATGCAGTGTGGCTGGTTTGGGATGTCAGAGAAGGTAGAACGTCGTCCCAGCTCAGATGCTTAATGGCATGTGGCCTGGAGAGTAATTCTTTCCTCTTCTCTGGCCTTCATTTCTCTCTTGGAAAGAGACTGGGTTGGACTTGAACATTTCTATCAGAGATTTGTAAGGTTTGCATCATAATGCACACACACATTAGCCATTTATAGCTGATTTTAACATTTCATACTTTTAAGGGAATACTTAGTTTAATACTACAGAATAAATTAAGCAAATGGATTTAAATCCTAAACTTTCTCTTTATTTGCTCACATATGACTCCCCTGCTGAAGTTTGTATTGCTAATGGTAAACAGAGGGCATTTAATTATAGGTGAGGCCATATGTATAATCTGTCAAGTTATCTCATACTACCAAGAAAGATTACAAATTCATATACTTAGCTCGGGTTCCAGTTTCGCTTAAAGATGATAACTCTTCAAAAGGGGGTTGATATCAATTGATACGTATTATCTAAACCCTGTAGTTGGTATAAAAAAATATGAGATGCAGTCCTTGTCTTAAAGGTGCAGACAGGTTTATTTCTCTTCCGTGTAAAAGAAATGCGGTGGCAATAATAATAGCCAGCATGTATATAACCTTCATTATGTACCCAGAGCCATTTCACATACATTATTCATTTTCATCTCGCAATAATCCTGTAATAAAGTAGGCACTGTTATTGTTCCATTTTACAAGGGGTAAACAGAGGCACAGAGAGGTTAAGTGGCTTGCCCAGTGGTCAACCAGCTAGTAAGTTGCAGAATCGGTATTCCAACGGAGGCAGTCTGGCTCCTGACCTATGCTCTTAACCCATATGTGATCCTGCCTCCTGAACTGCTGTGGTGGCTCCACGTTCATCAGGAAGCCGGACTCCTGTCTTCTCTGCCAGCTTGTCCTCATCCTCATTTCAGGCAGTGGGGTGGAGAGAAGATGAAGGACACACCTTTGTCTTCAGAAAATCTTCCTAGAAATCACACACCCCTAGAAACAGCACTTCTCACTTTTCACCGGCCAAAACCTAATCACATGACCACACCTGACTGTAGGAAAGGAAGGTATGCCCAGGTAAAAATAGAGCATAAAAAATAACACAGAAGGAAAAATAGATCTGGGAAGTCAGGCTTTGACACATTTCCAAAACTTTCATTTGGAGTTCATTTATTCATGCATTGGACATTGAGTGCCAGGGACTGTAGTCTGGGGATACAAGGATGAGTAAGACAAGGAACTAAGTAAGACACACAGTCCAGAGAGAGGATAGCAAGTAATAATGCAAGGCGGGGAACAGGGCTACCATGGAGATATTTGCCGAGTCCTACCTCTACCTGGCTGGGACAGGGAGGAGGGCTTCATGCCTAACAGCAGACTTAAAATAATACTTGAAAGACCGGTAAAGGTTGATACAGCCATGTCAAGATTATTCATGGTCTTACCCAGACATGACCAGTAGTATTAGGATATTAGCTTACTTTATCCTTTAGCTTACTACTTTCATTTGTTTATTTATTTTTAATATAATTTATTGTCAAAGTGGCTAACATAACAGTGTGTTCAGTTTGCTCTTGGTTTTGGGGGTGGATTCCCATGGTTCACCGCTTGCATACAACGCCCAGTGCTCATCCCAACAGGTGCCCTCCTCAATGCCCATCACCCATCTTCCTCTCTATCCCACCCCCCATCAAACCTCAGTGTGTTCTCTGCATTTAAGAGTCTTTTATGGTTTGCCTCCCTCCCTCTCTGTAACTATTTTTTTCTCCTTCCCTTTCCCCATGGTCTTCTGTTAAGCTTCTCAAGTTCCACATATGAGTGAAAGCAGATAGCACTCCTAGGAATTTAGCTTACTACTTTTAAAGAATAATACCTGTTCTACCTAATCATACCTTCCTCGTGAAAGCCTTTCTTTCCTGCCAGACTAAGCATCTCTAAGGGATTGACATGCCTCCCTAGTGTCGTGGCCTTTATCAAGTACTCATTACAGTTGTACTTTAACATTTAACTGTATGATTTAATGTCTCTACCCTCTACCAGACTGTTAACTCCATAACCCCAGCAGCAACTTTCTGTTTGTTTTTTGGTTTCTGTTGTTTTCTTAGCGTGTCATGTAGATCTCAGCCATAGCAGGCTTAGTTAATATTTGTTGAAATGATTTCCAAAATATTCTAGAAGATAGATATTAGTAGGCACATTCTAAAGCAACCTTTTTTTCTCCCTACAGTGACAACCGGAAGAAAAGCAATGACTATCGTACTTTCATTTATGTTCTTCTCCAAACCATTCACATTTCAGTAAGTAGTTTGTAATTCAACAAGTTTTTCTACTTGCAGGTACCTGGTTTCACATTTCCTATTTCCTTAATTTCTTTTTTTTTTATTTTTTATTTTTTTTTCAACGTTTATTTATTTTTGCGACAGAGAGAGACAGAGCATGAACGGGGGAGGGGCAGAGAGAGAGGGAGACACAGAATCGGAAACAGGCTCCAGGCTCTGAGCCATCAAACCAGAGCCTGACGCGGGGCTCGAACTCACGGACCGCGAGATCGTGACCTGGCTGAAGTCGGACGCTTAACCGACTGCGCCAACCAGGCGCCCCGTCCTTAATTTCTTTATAAAGAATCAGTTTTATCTGGAGCCATACTTTATTGACGTGTCTTCTGCTACTTCAGAAATGCATGTAATTATTTTGAAGAAATCATGTTGTACACTTAAACTGCCTAACTAGAGTTCCAGTGCTAGCATGACCCTGTTTCTAGTATAAGTGAACGTGAGTGATGTCTTGAGATGAAGGGATTCTGCCTTGCCCTAGTACAAAAGTATAAATTATATGTATGTAATACATAAATTATATAAGTTATATATATATATATATATATATATATATATATATATATGTGGTTTTTAAAGTTACTAAGTTTAGGGGCGCCTGGGTGACTTAGTTAAGTGCCCAACTTTGGTTCAGGTCATGATCTCATGGTTCATGGGTTCGAGCCCTGCCTCGGGCTCTGTGCTGACAGCTCAAAACCTGGAGCCTGCTTCGGATTCTGTGTCTCCCTCTCTCTCTGCCCCTCCCCTGCTCACGCTGTCCCTCTCTGTCTCTCAAAAATAAACATTAAAACAAAAAAATAAATAAAGTTGTTAAGTTTATTGTTCCCCTTAGAACAATTTGTTCCCCTTAGAACAAAGATTTGAGGTACAGATCTATTCTGTAAGTTTATTTAGTTTATGGCTTCTTATAAAGCATTTACTGTTTTCTTTACTGTCTGGAATACATTTAAAATTAGTATCCTTTCAATTTATGCTGCTTAGTAATTGAGAAGATTCAAACCTAGAAATTATCAATGTATAAGCTTAAAGTTAACCACAGATAAATTTCAGTTGGTGTATTTGTTTCCTGTAATCAGTTTCTCTTTGTGCATGTGCTAGGTATACATTATAGCAACCCATGTAATTCCCCTACTTTCTCAGGATGTGCCCCTTTTTACCTCTGTATGTCCCACCCAACTGGGATAACTGGGTAGATTGTTGAATTCCCAAGATGGCCACTGGCAGATTTACACATTCAGTGCTTAGACTCTTAAGACTATTGGTTAGGACATGGACTTGAATTTGCTATTATCCTCAAAATTCAAATGAACTATATTTAATATTTTGTAAAATATCTTCTCTGTACCTATACTTAACATAAATAATAGGAATTCTATCTAATCTGGTCTAAAAATACTGTTGTTTTTTTTTTATTTTAGTGTCATGGTGTCCCTCCAATAACAAAATGTTTATTTTATTGAAGAATTATTGTTAACTCATCACCAAGTTCTGTGGTTAACAATAAATCGTTACCTTGATATTAATATTTTTTCCTTCCTTCTTTTCTTAGGTATGTCTGGTCTGGTTTGTTAGTTGTCCTTGGTATATTTCTCAATGTTTACAGCAAAAATATGGATAAACTAAGACTACCAGCACTATATGATCTGATAAACAAAATAGTGGAAATGAGAAAGTCAAGGACGTTGGCACAAACCGTATAGTGAGTGATTCATCCTGTTTAAAACAGAACTCTAAGGGAGTAATCATCAAGTAATTAACTTTCGAAAGGGATTATTATAAAAACCAAAGGATCTGAAGGCATGCTACCCATTTGTGGATGGGTCACCTACGAAGTCAGCCTTTTCTTCAGGATACTTGTTTAACCGTTTGACTTCTGAAGCAATCAAGAGAGCCACATCTGGCACGCCTTAGAATCAAATGTCAGTGTGAAGGACTGACATTTCTTAGCAACCTGTTGAGAATTGCACTGGAAATGGACCATGTTGCAAAACTAATTGGATATCATTATGACATATCAAAGAAATTGATATAATAATATCAATTAATAGATTGTTTTGTTTTCATTCCATTTTGGTGTTGTTATTTAAATGATTCTCTGTTATAAGAGTGAACTGATGATTTAAAGTCTAGAAAGAATAACTTCATTATAAATAAAAATTATTCTGTGATTTTTTTAAATAAATGTGTTATTAGAATTTTGTTATGAAGAGGGAAGTGAAGGTTGGAGTAAGTCTTTACAGAAACTTTAAAACTTGGGCTTTTCTCCGATAATTTAGTAGGAGTATTAGAGGAAACGTGCTTTAAGTTTTCTGTGAAATATAGACAGCATAATAAAAAGAGTCATCCTGCAACCTGTAAGTATGTGTCTCAGAAAAAATTGCTACTATTCATCAAAGAAGTGCTAAAAGATTTAATGATTTGGATTTTTTAATTGAAGGGAAAATAATGCATGCCTTAAATTACAATAAAATAATAAAACCATCATAGTTTTTCTCATAAAACTGAAATTTAATTTGGCAGCTTAAAGATTAAATAGGGTAAACGTAAGAAACACAAGTAGATTTTACCAAATTTGTACAGTATCTTGTATGCACAGTTTTGAGTATAAACTCGTGAAGATTTTGGCCTTATTTTGTAGCAGTTGAGTTTTGGAATTGCTTCCACTGTATTAAAAAAATCCAATTAATCTTCATTTTCAGCATAAGTAATGCTAGTTAAAACAGCTTAGTTTCTGTGTTATTGGTGATATCACTTATATTTTGTGAGTATAATATACTTGGAATATTAATCTTGTTCTGAAAATTCCATTGTATTCTGATGGTAATTTTAACCTGTTATGTGCATATGTGGGTGTAACAGAGCCCGTGATAATTTAAGAGTCTAGCCATAAGGAATTCTGACTGAAAATCAGTTACATGTTAAAATACTCTGAGGGTATTTTTCCCCAAATGGTAATCAGTTTTTAAGTTTTCATATTTTAAAATGAAAGGAATCTTAATTTATATTTCATTATGCCTTCTTAAACTCTTAAGACAGTAAGGAAATTTGTGCCATTAAAAAAAATCAGTTTTCCCGAGTTCTTGATAAAAGATTATAATTTTAACTTTTCAAGGCATCCTTTTATGTACATGCTTTTCTAATTTTTTTTGTCTTTGCCTGTTAAGAATTCCTCACCCCACCCCCCAATTTTAAACAGCTGAGCACTGTTTAAAAATTGGTTTGCCAGCCTAACCCTTTTACTCCCATTTCCTTTTTTTACCTGCTATCAGATGGAAGCAAACTTCATCTCACTTATTTGTGTCCCTAGAGTACCCTTAGTGAATAGTTTGAAATACAGAATACTTTTCTATAGTAAAGGAAATCAATATTTGAATGTATACTTTGTGTCAGGTTTTCTAATAGCATTCGTAAATATTATGTGATCCCAACAACCCACGTATAAGTAATATAATTAATAAAGGAATTAAAAATAATAATTACTAAAATCACTAAAATTTAAGTGCTTATTAGGTGCCAGGCACTATTTTAAGTGAAATACTCAACAGTTTATTTAATCCTCACAACAGCTCTATGAGGGCAAGTATTATCCTCATTTTACAGATGAGGAAGCTGTGACCAGAGAGATTAGGTGACACTTCTCACCTAGAAAGAACCAGAGCTAGAAGGAACCAGAGCTGTCTGTCAAGCAGCCAAGTCCCAGAGTAAGGCTCTTAGCCACGTTGCCTCTCTAAGTAGATGTGATGGTTTATGTTCATGTTTTGCAAATACAGAGGTTGAGGACCAGGGTAAGTACTCACTAGCTCACAGTTAATTGGATTTCAAGTCCCTTTCCATCATACCCCAAGGTATATTTGCTGAACCCCACTATGAGCATTTAGGTAACAAGTAACGTAATGATGAAATATTTTTTTTAAGTTTATTTATGTTTGAAGGAGAGCATGAGCACGAGTGGGGGAGGGGCAGAGAGAGAGGGAGAGAGAGAGATTCTCAAGCACACTCAGCACGGAGCCTGATGGGGGGCTCAGACTCACAAGCCATGAGATCATGACCTGAGCTGAGATCAAGAGTTGGACGCTTAACCAACTGAGCCACCCAGGCACCCCAATGATAGAATATTTTTTAGTAAAGAATTTGTGAGACATACTTTAATGAATAGGCAAAGATGATTTGATTGGAACGTTAGTTCGGTGCAAATAGATGTATTTGTTTTAAGCAGTATGTAAATATAGATTGTTTCTTCAGCTGTATTCACATTAGGTGCCTATCACATAGTTAGCACTCACTAAATATCTGTGTTATCCAAGACTAATCCTCAAAGAATACCATGAGGCCAAAAACTATATTGGATAATATATGTTCTGAATTCTTCCAGCAGTGTCCCTCTTTTTAGCATAATAGTGCAGCAACAAAATAATAGCAGAAGAATCTGGCCAACTCATGTGGATCACTCTATTCAATCTTACGTACAGGTAAGCCAGCCTAGCCAGAATCCTTAGTAAGGCCAATTTATATGATGAATTTGGCTGGCCTTTCCTTGGTTCCTGGTAGGGAGTTTCCAATCTTTGGGATTTCCCAAGTGATGGGCATGTCTCTGATATTCATGGTAGGTCCCTAAATAGTTCCAGAGTAGGGGCTGACCATGTTAGAATGACTAACCATGTAACTGTCTATGGAGTTGGGGTTTTGAGCCACATCATACCAGCCCGACCTCCAAGGATGGCAGAGGATTTGGGACGTCAGTTCAGTTGTATAGCCAATGATTCAGTCAATCATGGCCATGCGGTGAGGATCAATAAACACTATACCTGAAAGCTTGGGAGAGTTTCTCAGATTGGAGATGCACGTGGATGTACCAGGGGGGTGACAGGAGGGTGTGCCAGAGGACTTGGAAGCTTAGTGTCTGTCACCCTCCGCAGACCTTGCCCCAAGGATTTCTTCTTTGGTCTGGTCCTGATTTGTAACTTTGTAACAAAACAAACATAGGAAGTATAGCACTTCCTTGAGTTCTGCGAGTTGTTCTTTTTTTTTTTTTTTTTTTTTTTCTGTCTGCGAGTTCTGGCACATTCTCGAACCTGAGGGGATAGTGGGAACTGCCGAATTTGTACCCAGTGGGTAACAAGTACGAGTGGCCTTAGGATCCCAGGGCTTGCAGCTGGTGTCTGAACTGAGGGAAGTTTTGTGGAGACTGCCTGTGAAATGACCTAATCTGGGTTGTTACAATTCCATTGTGGGCTTTATTGCTGAACAAATGCTTGTAAATAACTGTTAGCATTCTCTGCACTATTCTCAAAGCCTCTTGAGTTTTCTCAAGTGATTTTCATCTTCAGCCCACTTTACATTCTAGATTCCTCCTTGATCAAAGAGCATAGAGTTCTAGTAAAATTTGACCAATATTTGGGGCCAACAAATAATAGGGCTTAACATAATGAAAATATTTTTGCATTCCAATATCACGTTTGTCCTTTAAACTACAGTTTTCCAATTACCAAGTTGTGCCCAGAATGCTCAAAACCTTTGTATGCTTTCTTCCTAATTAAGCACATGACCTTTTTTTTCCCATTGTGTGTTTGAACAAAAACATTTTCTCCTGTTTTTACTTACTCTGCTTTTTACGTATCCCTATTGAATGTCCTTGTTCTTGCCCATGGGGCCAACCATCTTAACCTTTTTAACAGATTGTGTAGCATCACTGACTTGACTACTCTTATTTTTACTTTAACATACTTTTCTCTTCCATTCTCACTGGCCAGATATGAGCCAGGCATTATACTAGATGCTGAGGATAAGAAAAATAATCCAATAAACCCTAACTCTTAAGTAGAACCTAGTCTATAGAGAAGATTTGCTGTGATCGCTACGTAAAAATACATAAACTTCCTGTCACAGAGTAGCTTGTTAGCCTTAAGTTTTCAAAATAACGCCCCAAGGTGGTAGTGCTTCTAAAAGTTATATGTGCACGTAAGTCACCAGAGGATCTTCTTTTAAAAGATTTTAATTTAATAGGGTTGTCTTGGGGCTGAGACTTTGCTCTAACAAGATGCTGATGCTCTGGTCTTTGGACCACACTTGAGTATCAAAGCCTTAGAATACCAGATCTGTGTCCTGCTCTTGGGGTCCAGACATCTTAAGCTATTTGAATAGCTTCCACCTCATTCCCTTCCATTTGCTTTTCAAACTTCCCATTCTGTGGGACCTACCTCACACTATGTAACATCTCTAAGTCTCTTTGTTCAAACTGAACAAAAATCTTACCATGTTGCAGAGTTGCTAGCATAAGTGAAAAGAGTTCTTTAATCAGTGTAGGTGTATGAAAGATTTAATATTCATTACTTTCTCCATAAATGTGGCTTTTTTTTTTAATCTTCACGAAACTAAGATAAACCCATAATTTCCTACCAGTCATGGTCTGTTGTTTTAATTTCATGGCATGTAGTTAGAATCCCTTTTACGCTATTTTGTAGTGACATTATGAAGAAAATGTTCACTTCAGTGATTTACTCCAGCTTCAGAATGAACTGTATTATAAGGGGTTCAGGAAGTAGGACTTAACACTTAAGGGATTCTTCTGAGACTTTAATCACAAAAATGTGTTTTATTAAATATCTTAATCCTATGATACCCCCAAATGTCTAAAACATTTCCATTTTCATCAGTTTCACACACTTGATAAGATTTAAATAGGTGAAATAGGTAAAGTGTGGATAATTATCACAATAGATAATGACAGAAATGAGACTTTGGAGTCTGATTATTAGAGATTTCCTTACAGTACTCACCTTCCATGTTTTCTCCTAACGCCAGTCACAATGAAAGGACTAAAAAGCATATTTCTGACTCGACAGAAAATGAACATGTGGGAATTCATTTTTTTATATGTTATGAAAAATTGTCCGTTAATATATATCCTATTTTTAATTGTGTAGGATTTGTACGTGTGTGTATACCCAGAGATGACTCATAAAGGTGGGTGATTATCTTTTCTCTAGTTTCTAACTACATATTAATTGACATAATGTTAATCTGCAATATATGTGCTAATCTCAGTACTGTTTTGGTATTTGGGTACCTCTCATGAAATGAAAAGTTGATTAAAATGTCTGCCCTTACAAAGGTTTGATCTAATAGGATGGGATGGGGCTGGGGGTAATTTCCTGTAAATACCTACAAACACATCCACAGCCAGTTCAAGCCTATCTTTAAGCCACTAGGGATTATTGCAGGATCCAGGAGAGGCTTGCACCAGAGGAGCACGGTGCCCGTGGGGACACAGGTTGGCTCATGGAGCTAGTGCACAGTTAACGGGACTAGTTCAAATGTGCCTACATTAGCTGACAAACACTGAATGAAGAAGCTCCTTATTTTTTTTTTTTCTTTAAGGTTTATTTATTTTTGAGAGAGAGAGAGCCCGCGCGCACCAAGTGGGGGAAGGGTGAAGAGAGAAGGGCAAAAAGATCTTCAGAAGATCTGAAGCAGGCTCTGCACAGACAGCAGAGAACCTAATGTAGGGCTCGAACTCACGAGCTGTGAGATCAGGACCTGAGCCGAAGTCAGGCACTTAACCAACTGAGCCAGCCAGGTGCCTGGAGGAACTCATTCTTTAAGATCCCAGCTACTCAGATTCTCAAACTTAATCTTACTAAACATATATTTAATTATTCATTCAATTCTCGGCAGTCAGCCATTCTCATAAAACTGAGCCATGGGTAGTTTTTGTTTTTGTTTTTTCCCTTAATTCTCAGGGCTTATCTATTTACAAAATTTCTAAGAAGACCTGATAGTTTTTTGTTTTTGTTTTGTTTTTATTTTTGTTTTTTGTTTTTGTTTTCTTTTCTTTCCCTCAAGGACTCCTAAGAGATGCCAATTCCACTTTTGCCTCACATATCCCTGAGCTGTTCTTTCATGGTTTCCAACTCTTTATTCTTTCTTGCCGCTTCTAGGAGAGTTTCTCAGTCTGATCTTTCTGCTTGTTCTTCATCCATTCAACCTACTATTTGTCCCATTCAGTGTAGTGTCATTTTTTTTATATCCCAGTTATTACATATTCATACCTAATATGTCCACTTGGATTCTTCTAATGATTTCTTGGTTCTGCTTTATGTTAACAATATTTTCCCTTATTATAGTTACCATGGTTATTTTAATTTCCTGGATTCTCTATCCTAATCATTCTGTTTCTGATGATAGATGTTTTTTAAGTTGGTGGTCTTTTATTAATTATACACCTCTGTATAGGCATTGGCTGTTCAGCCCAGCCTTCTCGCTGCCTGCTATAACACATTCCCCCACATACCTGGCTCCCACACACACCAGGCCCCTCCCACACTGTGCTCTCTGGCACCGTGCTCCTCCCTCATGCACCGTCCCCTCTGCACATTGC